CGGGAAGAGCACAATGATGGTGCCAACTTGGGCCAGTGAAGCGACGTCCTCCACAACTAGACTGAAGAACAAAAGGACAGCAATTTGTCTGTTTCCCTTCCCCCAATTCCCCAGCACTGTTCCCATCCCACCAATTCCCCAATAAAAATCTTAAAAAAAAAATTATAGACATCCCAGTGGGTATGAAGTGGTATCTTGTGGCTTTTGATTTGCATATGACTATTGAGTGTGAGCATCTTTTCATGTGCTTTGTGGCTATTTGTATTTCTTTGAGAAAATGTCTATTCAAGTTATTTGCCCATTTCTTTTTTTTTTTAGCTGAGCCATCCTGCCACCTGTTGGCAGCTCAGCTCCGGCTGGGAATTGAACCGGCAACCCTGTTGCTCAGAGTTCACACTCTTGAGTGAGCTCTTAACCAACTGAGCCACTCAGCTAGCTATTTGCCCATTTCTTAATTGTGTGGTTTGTCTTTTTGTTGTCATTATATTCTGGACCCTTATCACATACACAATTTTCTCCCTTTGTGTAGGCTGTCTTTTCACTTTCTTGTAATGTCCTTTGATGCACAAAAGTTTTTAATTTTGGTCAAGTCTAATTTATCTATTTTTCTTTTTTGTTGTTTGTACTTTTGGTCTATCTAAGAATCAATTGTCAAATCTAAGTCATGAAGATTTATCTTAGGTCTTCTAAGAGCTGTATAGCTTTAGCTCTTATATTTAGGTCATTAATCCCTTTTGAGTTAATTTTTGTGTATTGTGTAAAGTAGGGGTCCATCTTCATTCTTTTGTATGTGGATATCAGGTTGTTCGGCAATTTATTGAAGAGACTATTTTCCCCCATTAAATGGTCTTGACACCCTTGTTGAAAATCAACTGGCCATAGATATATGGGTTTATTTCTGGATTCTTGACTCTATTCCATTGGTCTATATGTTTATCTTTATGGCAGTATCACACTGTTTTGATTACCATAGCTTTGTAGTAAGTTTTAAAATCAGAAAGTGTGGGTTCTCCAACTTTGTTTTTCTTTGTCAAGATTCTTCTTGCTATTCAGGCCTCTTTGCATTTTCCTATGAACTTGAGGGTCAGCTTTTCCACTTCTGCAAAAAAAAAAAAAGCCTTTTTCCACTTCCACAAAAAAAAAAAAGTGCACTGAAATTCTGATAGGAATTGCATTTTATGAATAGATCACTTTAGGAAGTATTGCCATTTTAACAATATTATGTCTTCTACATGAACATGGAATGTCTTTCTGTTCATTTAGTTCTTTTTTTTTTTAAAGATTTTTATTGGGGAATTGGGGGAAGGGGAACAGACAAGTTGTTGTCCTTTTGTTCTTCAGTCTACCGTATTTGCCAGCGTATAAGACGATTTTTTGGCCCTGAAAAATATGCCTCCAAGTGGGGGGTCGTCTTATACGCCAGGTACACTTCAGATAGACTGCCCATAGTGCTTGCCCCGTGCCATAGTGGCCTCCCGATGCCCGCCCACTTCATTCCACATACCGTTCAGGCATCAGCAGCGCTGCTGGGTGTATGCTCGGCTGTGTGCGATTTTGCGAGTGTGGTAAATTCGGGTTACCGTATATTTCTTTACATATGCATTGAAGATTCGCGATTTTGCGCTATCATGGTGCCTGTTAGAATGTTGAAGAGCTCGCACTTGCGCACTAGTGAGGTCCCAGGGAGATGCTGATGCAAGGGTGGACCAGACTGCTATAGTGACAGGGCGGGCAAACAGGGAGCAGGGACCAATCAAATCAGGCTTTGTATACAGCCAACAGCCAACCACAATACTGCACCATTGTACAGTACAGCATAGAAAATGTCGACCAGTCAAACCCCTATCATCCCTATCATGGCACCAGCCAAAAGAAAGAAGTATGATGCAAATTTTAAACTGAAAGTTATAAACTTTGCTAAGGAAAATAATAATTGTGCTGCTGCAAGACAATATGGAGTAACAGAAAAGATGGTTCGGGACTGGAAATCAAATGAGAAAGCATTGAAGAGTATGCCAAGGGGTAAGTGTGCATTAAGAAGAGGCACCCCACACTGGCCAGAACTCGAAAAACATGTAGCAGACATGGTGGCTCAACATCGCCAAAACGGTTATGTGGTGACACGAAATACAATACGCTTGTTTGCACTTCAGTGGGCCAAATCAAATCTGATATTGTTTTACCTTTTATTTGGTGTGTGGAAGTGTGCGGAAGAGGGGGTAGTCTTATACGGCGAGTATATAACAAACTCTGTATTTTGAGTGGAAATGTTAGGGGGTCGTCTTATACGCCCAGTCGTCTTATACGCCGGCAAATACAGTAGTTGTGGAGGATGATGCTTCACTGGCCCATGTTGGCACCATCATTGCGCTCTTCCCTGTGAGGCAGATCAGTCGCCGGCTTCTGGGCGGCCGCTCACGCTGGCTGCTGGCTACACACGGTAGCCCATGGCAACCCACTGCAGCAGGGGCTGCAGCCTACGCCGCAGTCACCGGAGACTCACGGCAGCCCAGCTCCAGGTTGAGCTGTTGTTCAGCATCTTAGCTGTAGAGGGCAGTGTCACTGGCCCTCACATGTGGAATCTGAACCAGGGCCCTCTGGCGTCCCAAGCCAGTTCTTAACCAATGCGCCACTCGGCCGGCTCCATTTAGTTCTTCTTTATTTCAGTAATGTTTAGCAGTTTTCAGCGTACAAATCTTTAAGCTTCTGGTTAAAATTGCTCTCAGCTATTTTATTCTTTTGGATGCTCTTATAAATGATATTTTCTTAATTTCCTTTTTGTTCATTGCTGGTGTATAGAAACAATTAATTTTTGTAAGTTGATCTTGTGCCCTGTATCCCTGCTGAATTTGTTCATTAGTCCTGGTAGTTGTTTTTTTGTTTGTTGGGTTTTTGTGTGTTTTTTTTCTAGTTTCTTTGCCATTTTCTCTATATAGGACCATGTACCATGTCCTCTGCAAATAGAGGTAGTTTTACTTCTTCCTTTCCAACTTGAATGCGTTTATTCCCCGCCTGATTGCTTTACCTACATCTTCCAGTTCGATGTTGTACAGCAGTAGTGAAAATAGGCATTCTTGTCTTGTTCCTGATCTTAGAGGGAAAACTTTCAGTCTTTCAGCATTAAGTATGATGTGTGCTATGGGTTGTTTATAAATTCCTAGTTTGCTGAGTGCTTTTATCATGAAAAGGTGTTGGATTTTGCTAAATGCTTTTCTGTAGCAATTGAGATGATTGTTTTATCCCCTTTGTTCTATTAATGTAGAACATTAATAGAATGTTGACTGATTTTCATATGTTGAATCACCTTTGCTTTCCTGAAGTAAATCTCACTTGGACATGGTATATAGTTCTTTTAATGTGCTGTTGGATTTGATTTGTTAGTATTTTGCTGAGGATTTTTGCCTCTATATTCATAAGGGATATCGATCTATAGTTGTCTTATGCTGTCTTTGTATGGCTTTGGTATCAGGATAATGCTGTCTTCATAAAAATGTTTCTTCCTCTCCTATTTTTTGGGAGAGTGTGAGAAGGATTGGGGTTAATTCTTAAATGTTTGGTAGAGTTCATCAGTGAGGCCATCTGGTCCTGGACTTTTCTTTGTTGCAAGGTTTTGCTACTGATTCCATCTTTTTCTTTGCTATATGTATGTCCAGATTTTCTAATTCTTCTTGCATCAGTTATTGTAGTTTGTATGTTTCTAGGAACTTGTACATTTCAAATTATCTAGGTTATCTAATTTGTTGGCATACAATAGTACTCTATTATAATCCTTTTTATTTTTGTAAGGTCAGTAGCAATAGACCTGCTTTTATCCTTGATTTTAGTTATTTGCATCATCTCTCTCTCTTTTTCTTAGTCAGTCTAGCTAACAGTTTGTCAATTTTGTTGATTTTTTTTCCCAAAGAACCAACTTTTGGTTTTGTTGATTCTTCCTATTGTTTTTCTATTCTTTATTTCCTTTACCTCTGTCCTAATATTTATTATTTCTTTCCTTCTGTTAGCTTTGGGTTTAGTTTGCTCTTCTTTTTTTCAGTTCCTTAATATATAAAGTTAGGTTTCTGATTTAAGATCCTTCTGTGTGTTTTTTTTTAAAGATTTTATTGGGGAACTGGGAAGGGGAACAATGTTGGGGAATTGGGGAAGGGGAACAGACAAGTTGTCCTTCAGTCTTAGTTTTGGAGGGCGCAGCTAACTCAGCTCCAAGTGCAGTTGCCATCCGGCCCATTGGCAGCTCTTGGCTGCTCAGCTCAAGGTGCCATGTTCAATCTTAGTTGAGGGTGGGTGTAGCCCACCATCCCATATGGGAGTTGAACTGGTAACCTTGTTGTTAAGAGCACGCGCTCTAACCAGCTGACACAACCAGCCGCCCACCAGCAGCTCAGCTGCAGCTCAGCTCAAGTCGTTGTGTTCAATCTAGTTGTGGAGGGAGCAGCTCACTGGCCCATGTGGGAATCGAACCTGCAACCCTGTTGCTCAGATCATGTGCTCTAATCAACTGAGCCACCCGGCTGCCCCTGTCTTTTTGTCTTTTGACAATCTGATTATAAAGTGTCTTACTGTAGTGCTCTTTGCATTTATCTTCCAACTATTTGGATATTAGATTAAATCTGTATCTTTATCAAATTTGAGAAGTTTTCAGAAATTATTTCTTCAATTATTTTTTCTACCTATCTCTTCTCCTTCTGGGACTCCCATGATGCATATGTTGGTATATTTCATGGTGTCCCACAAATTTCTTTGGCTTTGTTCCTTTTTCTTCATTCTTTTTTCTTTCTCCTCTTCAAACTGGATATTTTAAAACTGACCTACCTTTAAGTTCTTCCTTCTGCCTGCTCAAATCTAAGAGATCCTTTGTAAATTTTTCATTTCTGTTATTATAGTTTTCAGCCCCAGAATTTCTGTTTGGTTCCTTTTTATATTTTCTATCTCTTTAATGATATTCTCTATTTGTTGAGACATCATTCTCCTGATTTCCTGTAGTTCTTTGTCCCTGGTTTCCTTTCCTGATTTAAAAATCTTTGTCTAGTAAATCTAATGTCTGTGTTTCCTCAAGGAGCATTTCTGTTAATTTCGCCTGTGAATGGACCACACTGTCTTTTTTCTTTGCATATTTTATAATTTTTTGTTGAAAACTGAACATTTTGAGTATTATAATGTGTTAACTCTGAAAATCAGATTACTCCCTCTCTTTGGGGTTTGTTTTTATTGTTTGTTGTAGTCTGTAGCTGTTTGTTTAGTTATTTTTCTATGTTATTTTGTGAAGTCTATTTTGTCATGTGTGGTCACTAAAAAGTCTCTGTTCCCTTAGCTTATGTTCAGCTAGTATGCTGACAAGGATTTCCTTGAATGTGCCAGGAACCATAAAAGAAGGAGGGGAAGGAAGAAAAGGAGTAGAAGGGAGGGGAGGGGAGAGGAGCTCTCTCAGTCTTTGGAGATTGGTTTTATGTTGAGGTACTCCCTCAACACTTAGCCAGACTGTATACAATGCCCCCTTAGTCTTCTCTCCCTGCTTGTGCTGAGTCTAGAGTTCAGCCAGAGGTGAAAGATCAGGGTGTTCTCATGTCTTTTTTGCTTATGTGTCCTTTCCTAGGCATGTGCATGGCTTTCTAAATTCCCCAATATATGTGGGTGCTTTTGAATGCCCTAATTTCCTAAAGAAACTCTCTCCCCTGATTTCCTCCCAGGCTTTCAGTATGCCTATTGTTTACCTCAACTATAATTTTTTGCCCCAGACAGCATGTTGTTCATTTGCCTTACCATATTTTCAAGAAATACCCTCTGCATAGCCACTTTTCTGACCTGAGTGAGTTCCAAGTTAGGTAAAACAAAGGTAAGCACCCTGTGTCAGTACTTCAGGTAGCCCACAGACAAGTTAGAATAGACAAACACAATTCTTTGAGAATAAGGTCCCTCTGAAGGGACCAGAGTCCCACACTAAAAATATGGGCTACCATCTTTAAGACTGCTGCCAAGGTGGGGGGAGGCATGAGAGAAAGTCAAATAAAAATACTGGAAAGCTTCCTGCCATTTTTAAGTTACCTCTTTCTTGATTCAGTATTTTCCTGTTTGCTGCAAACCTTTGACTATTTTCCAGAGTTCTGACAAAGTTGATTCTGACAGTTTTTGATTGATTGATTGATTGATTTGCTGCTTCTGTGGAAGGACAAGCCTTTGGAACTATCTACTGCATAGTTTAATTTTTACATTTAGATCTGTGACCTACATGGAGTTTATCCTGGCATATAGCAAGAAGTATAGATTCAATTTTCGTCAAATGACTATTCAGTTGTCCCAACTCCATTTATTAAAACATCTTCCTTTCCCCCAGTATTTTGAAATGCTAACTTCATCTATTTCTAGATTTTCTATTTTGTTTGATTGATCTCTGTCTATTCATATATCAATACTATACTGTTGCTATTACAGAACTTTTTAAAATCTGATAGGACTAGTACCCCTTCATTACTTTTATTTTCAAGGTTTTCTGGGCTATTCTTGCTTTATTATTTTTCAACGAGAACTTCATAATCAATTTGTTTCACTTTAGAAAAACAGAATTTTTATTGGGATCACACTAAATTTATAAATTAACTTGAGAGGGAGTGATATTTCTATGATTTTGAGTTGGTCTATGCAATCAAAAATGTTTTAAGTCTACTTTTGTGTATTTTTGGAGTCCTTATCTTTCAAATTTATTACTCATGTTCTAGCAAGCATGGGAGCGGGGGCAGAGATCGGGGTACAAGATAAACGTTTTCTCCATACCTGCAGATACCTGTGCTTGAGCATCAGTGTGGCGCTGGCAGACATTACTCAAGAATTCACTCACTTGACGCAGGGAAAGGGCATTATGCAGTGTTTCCAGGGGGTAGATGGTAGGCACCATGGAGCATCCTTCAAATCCTGTTAGAAAAGAGACAGGTAAAGTCAATATTATTCCTGCCGAATATATCCCAACTGGCCAAGGAAGCATGGAGAGTCCCTGAGAGCCATCAGGAGAGTCCGTGGCTTTTGGAGTGTGGGGTATCCAAGATTCTCAGGAAAGGGAACTCTTTAGAGCCCAAACAGGAGTCTACTTCTGTCACCTCCAGGTTTCCTAAAATGTCTACCCAGTAAGGCCTCCAGGTGAATCAAATCACCTCTCATCCTACCTATGGAGAGCCTGCAATGTCCCATGGAAAAATCAACAGAATCCCAATAGGGTAAGCACCTATATTGCTCTTGCACTTTCTGGGGGAATAAAACAAAGGTCCAGAGGTAAGGGGTGAAACTGTAGGTCTAAATGAGGGAGGGATGTCATGGAGCTGGGAAGAAACAGCAGACTTCCAGGGTCATGTACAACAGGACCAGATTAAGGAGGAGGGCATGGAATATGAGAAGGGGTTCATGCAGATTTAAGATACGGGTAGAAAGGCTAGAATATTTGGAAGCAAGCTGGAGGGCATGCAATACATATGGAGCTCAGCCCAGGAAAATCACATGCATGAACAGGCTGGAGAATGGAAGTTCTTTCTTGGTCACTTCCATCACATCAAAGGCTCTCCCTTCTGCTCTCATTGGAAGACCCCAGACTTGTTAGGCTTTCTCTATTCCATCAGGAAAATGAGGCAAACCTCATAGAAAAATGAATAAATAAATACTGATTCTCTGCTCTGAACCCAACAATTCCAATGTAGGTCCACCACTCTGGGTAGAGTGAAAGGTAAACCTAAATGTGTAACCGATCCCAGGGCCTGTTGATGAAAACAATGTCCCCATTGGAGGATCAAGAAGCACACATCCAAACCACTTTTTCAGTTCCCAGTCTTTCCTATGCCTCCTCTACATCTCCTTAAAGGGACTAAGGGTAGGCAGGACAGCAATATTTATGCAAGACATAGCCTCCTGTTCACCAATGACTAAAACCTCAAAAGAATTATACCTGACCTTCTTCTAACCTCTGGCCCTCGTTTGCTTCACGGATTCAATTGAGACCTCTCTGCTTCAGTTTCCCCCTGTACTCTAGTGGCAGGAGGGCAAGAGAGGTACAGCCTCTAACTCCTGAGAGTGGCTAGAAAAATGTTTGGATTTCAATATGGTGGTAGCAGAGGGTTATAGAGATAAGAACAGATTCCAGGGCAAGAGACTACTCCTGTACTGAACAGAATTGGGAATAGGTAACATTAGGAAGCAGTGAGGAAGGATGAGCAGCCAATGCTACAGCTAGCTACCAGGCAGTCTGGCCCCAATCCCATACAAGCAACTAAATGCAAGTCACATAACCTTAGGGTACATAGGAGGAAGGAACAGGTGGGCTCTCCTGCCAGAAGTGCAATAAGCAAAGCAGTCAGTCCCAGCCAGGGTAGTGGCGGCAGCCAGCTTGGTGGCAGGGGGTACCGTAGAGGCACTCGGGGTCATCCTGGCCTGAGCGCAGCCAGTTCCGGAAGAGGCGCAGGTGGTAGGAGCACTGGTGCAGGTGATGCGCCAGCGTGGCATCCAAGGAGACTGGCCGGCCCCCTGGGCAGTCAGAGGAAAAACTGCGCAGCAACCGGACCACAGGGTGCTGGTCATCCAGCAGCTCTGGAGGGGGTCAGGGTACCGCGGAGGAAGCACAAAGATAAAGAAAGAGAAGAGGGAGAGACAATGAGGGGGGCACTGACTGGCACAAGCATTACTGGGAAGTGGAGCCACTCAGCTCCAAGGTGAGCTCAGAGGCAAGCAGAGATGGTCAGAGCCATTGGGCATCCCTTTCAGGGAAGAAGAGTGTTGGCATCACACAGTGAATCTAAAAGAAGGGGCTAGTGAGATCTCATCATACAGCAAGGGGCTCCCCTTTCTCACTGAGCATAATTCAGTCAGTGTTTGCAGACAGAAGTCACGTCATTCTGGACAGGGGGCAGCTGGCAGGTCTGGGGCCTGGGAGACTTGACTAGAGTGCTAGGATCCCTGATTATTCTTAGACAAAGTCTAGTTAGGGCCTGCTTCTCAGACGAATGTATTTATGAGGTTGAAATAGAGATAAAAAGATTCCAAGTTACTCAGAGAAGAAGGTCAAGAATGATATAGGGTATCAAGATAAAGCATGAAGCTAAAAAGGCTCCAAAGGCTCCGGCCAGGCCTTCTGGACCAGACCCTAAGACAGCCACAGATAGGGTGTTAGGCCGCTGGCATGGGAGGTTGGCAGGAAACCAGGTGTAAGAGTCTTTTAAAACAGAGCATGTAAAAAATGGAATCAAAATGTAAAAATGCCAATATTGGCTAATCATCCTTTACTCTTGCTGAAATATACAGATTTTTAAAAATGTGTGCATAAATCTCAGGACTTGGGGGACACTGTTATCCACTATAGAAACCAAAAGTTATTATATATAATTTTTTATATTTTCTTCCCACTGCGGCGAGTCTAATTGTCCTTGGTTCAGCTGGTGAGTGGAAAAGCTTCAATCCTGAACTACTTATTATTTTAATTGCTTGGCAAACCTTGTGGATATATGTGATTCAGTTGTAAAAGGTTGAAGACAGTGAAAGGCATGTGGAAAGGGGTATAAGAGGAACAGGAGGGAAAAGATCTTGGGGAAAAGGTTTGGGGTCTTAAGACCTGATGACAGGATGTGGGTATACAGAAGGCAGGATCAAGGGAGCTGAGGATGACTGCTCAGAGCTCCCAGATCAGAACTGGTTCCATAGGGTGGTTCCAAGAGACTAGAATTTCCAGAGACCTGAGTTTGAACGTCTAGAAAGGTTTCAGTTCTACCCAGGTACTAACTATACCAAACGTCAGACAGTTGTGTGGGTCCCTAAAGATAACCGGCTTGGCAAATCCAGTGAGCACATTCTGACATTCTGGATAAGGGTCAGCCACAGTCTCTTTCCCACTATATTAGTTTATTTTGGTGAGTTCAGCGTGCAGTTTAGTAATGGGTCTTATTTGTATACTTTATGTAGTCACAGGATGTGACAGAAGTTTGTCAGGAATAGAGGCAGTGATGGGTAGAGACATGCTCTCCCATCAAAGCAAGGAGACAGCATTGCCTTGCCTGCTTTCCAAAGCCAGGTCATTTTTCCAGTTGCTATTTCAAAGCCAGACATCATGGCAAGGAGATGGTGTTGCTAGGACAGTAGGTTGGCACATTGTTGTGACTAATCTGCCACAAACAATTGCAGGCAGCACATCCACTGTGTAATTGCTGGGTCAGTCAAGCAAGATTTGGCCATGGGGTAGAGCCCTCCTATTGTCCCAAGGGCCCAATTAAATCTAGATAATCTTCAGCATGAGACATAATAGCTCAAAATTCCTTCTGTTGACAATAGGTAGATCCCAGTTCTGGCTTCTCAAGCACTGTAGTCTCCAAGCTTAAGTACAAGAAGAACAAAGGTCAGAAGACCCATGAGGAAGTATGCAGGGCATTGGAGGGATCTTGAATTTGCTCTCCTACGCTATACCTGAATTGTCCAGGTCTTGCTCCCTCGCCTCTGTTTGGTAGAATTAATTCTTCTTGTCTTCAACTAGTGAGGCTGCTAACCAAGGCTTCAGGGAACTAGATATATAGGTTTGAGGATCTGCTTTATGAATTTGGATCTTTTTTCTTTGAGCCTAAGAACCAGGAGATCCATGATTTAGCTCTGATTTCAGGGGCCCAAGTTCCTGGTACTATATTCTATACCCTCAGTAACATGTCTCCTAAGTGCAAGTCCCAGGCTGCGGGGTTGGGGTGGGTGCATGAGGTTCTACTTCGGAGATGACTGTGGCACATGAAGGCCAGAGGAGCTTGAAACTAAATGTGTAGGTATGGCCATGCCACTCTGAATGGGGAGCTCCTGTCACAGGCATAAGTGGGAGCTGGGGTGGGGCTGGGGATATAAACTAAGCAAGTATAAGCTAGGCCACCTATGGAGATTTCAGCAGTTCCTAGTGGGGATGTCTGGTCTGACAGGGTTAAAATCCAGGAGCTGCGACTGGCTGAGGAGCAGGGCATCAGCACCTGGAGGTTTTTCCAGCCAAGAAGCCAGGCTAATTTTACCTCCCTCAGGGAGTCTTAGGTCTTGGGCAGAAGAAAACCATATCTGAGAAAACTGGATTTATCTTGAAGACAAGATACAATGCACAGAGAAACCAAAGACATAAAGGATAAAAGAGGGAGTAAGCCCGGGGTTCCCTGCCATACCTATAAAGAGACCACAGCCTTTCCATTTTTGCTTTACACAGATCTCTAAACTCCCCCACCTTAGGGTGGGCTGACCCAATTCGTCAATATTCTCAAAAATTATTCATTCCTAAGCTCCCCTAGAATCCTAACTCTTCACTTCAAGCTTCTCTGAGACAGCAATGCCATACGTAGGCTAGGGCTACATAGAAACCACATGCAAAAACTAGAGGTATGATTATTTTTCCTTACATACTACTTCCTATTCCTTTCTTTCTTTTATCCCAGATCAATCTGGGCTCCTGTTTTCTATGCCCAGGCCCTAAGTTAGTAGTAACATAAAGCAGATGTCAGGAGCACAAGAGCCACACCAACTACATATAATGGTAGGAGATAGGAATATGGAGATGGGCAACTATATACTCAAGACCAATGTCCTTATGGGTAGGCTTGGGAGCTGGGAACTGCAGCATTGCTCCAGTGGGAAATAAACTAGTCATCCACTCCAACAAAGGAGTTGGAGAAAAAACACGAAGATCAAAGTTATGTAAGTTGAGGAGCAGGGGGGAAAAAAAGGAAGAACGTGGATAACATAGGAAATACTTTTCCTAAGAAGGGGGACCATTACCATGTTTATACAAAGCCCAGCAGTCATGTGATAGGAAAGGGTAGAGGTTTCATTAATGTTTTGGTGATGATGCTGAAAAAAGTGACACAATGGTAATGATGGTGACCATGGAAGTAAGACCCTGAGTTACCACAGGGATAGGGCAGCCAGGCTGCAGCCAAGGCTAAGGTTTGTCACACAATGATATATCCCAAGAGGGATACTTAGTGAGTGGTTCATTCAGAGACAACAGGGTGTTAACACAGTGGAAGGAGAGGCAAAGTCAGTGTCAGAATTCAGAGGTTAAGTGTCTGGAGGTGACATGGTGAGGATGAATGATGTTGAGTCAGAAGCAAACGTACCGTTAGTCGGATGCTTTGCAAATGACACAGAAAATCGTTTTACGGCCGGGACAAACAAGAACTCTGGGGAGAAAAGACATCATGGGGATTATACCCACCCCTGCCCCCACCCCCTGCTCTGGAATTTGCCAGCAGTATATTCTGTTCTTTACAGTTCATATAGGACCTGCTCCCACCCCCACCCTTAGATTCCTGACTACCACATTTCAGTCTTTTCCTTTGGTATAATCTCCTCTCAGGAATCCATGTGTCATCTCTACCACAATACAGCCCCACAAACAAAACTAATTTCACCACCACATCCTCTTCCTCATCATTTGAAAATATCATCTTTGTAGAAACTTTCATCCCTTCCCCCAATCTCTTTCCATATCATCTTTTCTGCCTTGGCTGAGCAACTTCCCCATCCCTGATTTCCTAGATTTTAATCAAGGGCCCACTGCATGCTTCCTGACCATGGATCGTCCTCCTTGGTCCTTACCCCTACAGGTCAGAATCCAGGAAAGAATACACAAGTGGAGTAAATTGATGCAGCAGGGCTGTATGTGGGAGATTATGAAGGGATAAGCATCAATAAGTAGTATTTGTATGGCGAGAGGGAATGCAAATGGAGGGGTGGATGGGGTCCTGGTTCTTTCTCCCCTCTATAACTGATGAAGAAAACTTGTGATAAGACCAGTGTCAGTGCCATCTTAAGCATGAATAGTTCTTGAGCTGTGTCCTTGCTGGGGGACAAATGAAGAAAAGAGTTGCCCCCCAAAGCCCACCCACATACCATCTCGATGCTTCAGACTGGCAGGTGGTAGCTTTTTGCCATGGCTGCGGGCGTAGTCCTGAAGATTCGGGGCGCTGGAGGAGCCACCCAGCACTGTGGTGCTGAACAGCCCTGTGCACTGTGAGCCTGCAAGGCCGGGAGTGCATTAGTAGCCACACAAAGCTGCCATTAGCACACAGATGTATATACCACTGCGACTACACATGACAACATCAACACACACTCACACACACACACAGCCATTCAGAGCCACCATCGTGTGGCCACTACATATAACCCAAACAGTTTTCACTACTGTTCATAGCTACACTGGGCAAGCAAAGTGAGTATTCTCCTGAAGATCTGCATGGCAGGTACAAGAGGCCACTACAAATGCAGGGTTAGTGATATTAGGGGACTCAAAGCTACTGAAATGGATAGACTAAGCTCTCCATGTGGCTCTCAGGAATGCTGAACGAACAGGTAATCCTGCTAGATCTCCCTAGATTTGATTCAGTGCTCCTTACGCTAGATATAGAGTTTGAAGAACCCAGAAATCTAGTCCTTTATAGGTTTAAAAGGAAGGAATTTTGATTGAAGTTGGAGATTAAGTTTTGAGCACTCAGCTCAAATTCCAAGTTTTCATAAATTCCAATTCCTCCAAGGTTTTTCATCCAACATTCTCTCCCTTCTATCTCCCTTCAGGCCTTTTTACCTTTCCCAAGAAAGAAAGTATGCGACTCACTGAATTTTTAAACCTGGAAGTGACTCTAAATCAACCTCCTCATTTTAGAGATTAAGAAACTGAGAATCAAAAGGGCTCTCATTTGCTCGAGGTCATAGTTTGTTAGGAGCTAAACTGGACTAGAATCCAGGTGTCCTGACTCTGAGGATCAACTGTGTTCACTTAAAAAAGAAATAATTATATTTTCATCAAGAAGAAACAGGCTGTTGTTTCAGAAGGGAAGATGGACACAAATAGAAAGGCATGTGAAGTGTCAGGTGATTATATGTAAAGCATGCCACTATGTGCTGAGCACCCTACTAAGAAGGAGGACCTGGTGAGCAGGAAACAATAAAAAAGGCATTTTTTTCCTGCTCTCAAAAGTTTATTGTTTTGTGAGTTCTATGCTCAAAGCCAGATGCGCACACACATAAGTTCAAAGAAAGCAAAGAGAACTCTATCACCAGTCAGAGGAGTAAAGAAAACCTGAAAAATCTCTGAAGCAAATAAATCAAGCCAGTCACTGTCACAAATATCTGATTAAGAGTAGTCCTTTCTCCTACTATAGCCCATGAGGACAGAGTGGGAAGGAAGAAACAAAACTGACCCCCAAGTCTGTGGGATTTGCCCCTCTACTTCCGAATCCATCTTAGCCAAGACCCTGGGCTTGTTTTGAGAACTTAGCCTTCATATGGAAGATGAATAAAGTGGAGAGGAGGTCATTTTCCTTTTAGCCCACAAAGAGTGGCCGTGGTTTCAGGGGTCCCAGCATTTCAGGGTCACCACAGAAAATCAAGAAGCTCAGATGGCTGATCATCTCTGCCCTGGAATTTAGGACTGCTTTTCTATGTAGTAACTTCCACCTTTCATGCTCACACAGGCTCTAGAATGGGGTTTCAGAGAGTAATCAGGATTGCTAAATATATCTGTTTTTCTTCAGAGAAGCCCCAACTAGCTGGCTGTATCCCAGACCACCCCAAGCTCTGTTCTACATTTACTTCCTCCACTAAATAATTTTCTGGTGCAATCCTGGCAACCCTGCCTTGCCCAGTCCTCAGAGGGTAGTCTCTACTTTACCACCACCATCTGTCAACCACTGTGTCCATACCTCTGCCTTGTTACTGACAGCACTTCCGCTTAACTGTGCCAGACGCAGCTATCCTCTTTTCCAGCCTACCTGAAACCTATTCTTTACTGGGACTTCTGGGATGAAAAGTCCATATGATAGACCTATACATTTGTCATTTATTTTTCATGCCCCAAGCCATCTACTTCATTTTGGGGATCTAGAAGGCAAACTACTCCCATAAAATTAGCCTGGAAAGTTACCAACACCTTTCTCCTCCTTCTGCTCTAAATGCTGACCATGTGGGGGCCAAGAAATTGGGTGCCAAGGACAAAGGTAACAGAAAAATGAAAAGAGCTAAATGGAAAGAATAACAGGACAAGATAGAGCCATGGGACCAAGTCCAGACCCCACACAATTGTCTCTAACTGCCAGTTCTAGTTACTGGCCTGCAAGGCATTGTGTTCAAAGATAGCCCCTCCCAAGGTCCGCTCCCCACTCCCAAAGAATACAATACCCTCTGAGGCTTGGTCCTTCCTGCAGTCTGTGTTCTTAGGGAAGGTTGAATGATGTTCTCCACCCCTCTCCAGGAATCAAAAAAATCAAGAGACATTCCCTCAAAGTCCTGAGAGAAGCCTCTGTCACTATACCAGTCTCAGATTTGTCCCTCAATTTTCAGAAAGGAAGGAAAAAAAATTACAGGATTAGGAAAGGATGAAGGAAAGGGCATGGAGGTAGGAGGGGCCAGAGCAGGGATGTACTAAACATAGGTCTCAGAGAAAAACATAGCACAATTCTCCAAATGAGGAATATGACACTTAAGGGGGTTACGTCTATTTATAGCTCTGTCTCTGAAAACTCTGAAGATTCAGAGACTCCATGGCCAGCTAAGGTCTGGGCTAGACTATAGGGACAGACGAGGAATGAGAGGGGAAGCCAGAAAAATGCCCTTCAGTCAGAGAAATGGGGGTTGGTATAGAAAACACCTTCCTGGGATGGAAACAGTCATCTGGGACCAAAGTTCATACCTAAACATGGCTTCTCCCAATTCATCCTCCCTATTCCCACCTGCTAATTCCACTGACTTCAGGGCCCCAATTCCCACAATACAATTCTGAAAAACAGACAGACACCCCTTCTCAACGACAGGTGAGAGACGCTGGAAAACCATACCTAGGCCACTCTGTTTCATCTCCGTTGGTGGCCGTGAAGATGAAAAGAGCCGGTAGCCACCAGGCCTAGAGGATGAAGTCTCAGAAAGCACCTGGGGAAAAAGGAATTTTTATTACCCTTTTGCCACGTCAGCACAGCAGTCTAAAACCCAGGTCCTGAATTCCTGCCCCTACAAAGCCAAGCAGTGTCAGAAAGTTTGGAAGAACCAAAGGATTTTTATGGGGAAGAAGAAAAGGGAATGAAAAGTATACTTTGCAGAGGGAACTGTCTAGGGAATCCTTCTATACTAGAAGGCACTTCTACTTCCAAGAGGCCCTCCCCATCCCAAATCTAAGGAATCATTATTCAACCATTCTCGGGTCTCAGCAGAGCTGGGTTCCTTAATCATATCAATCCCTCCATAGGACTCGGAAAGCCAATCATAATAGCTCAGCCACCATAAGAAGGAAAATCTGGCCACCCTCTCTTTCTGTGGGACAGCTGTTGGCTATGGCAACCATACTCAGCTTCTTACTTAAACCAAGAAGCCCTCCCCGCCACTCCTGGAGATATGAAATAGGTTTACAAAAAGCCCATAAGGGTCCAACCATACAGCCCCCAACATACATATATCCCCCTCCTAAACGGTGTTCTGAGTCCCTAAGTCCCAAAAGGCAAAGACAGAGGCAAAAAAGGAAGACGAGGTAGGGAGGACACCTGTGTGCAGGATGCCAGGTGAGTGGTGGACACAGCCCGGGGCTGTAGGCCGATGGCTGGGGAAGGCCGGGGGAGGTCTCCTGACCTCCGACGGCGCCGTCCCCGCAAGGGAATCAGGTCCAGGATCCCCGTGCACTGCATGTTCATGACCTGCAATCAGACCGATGGTGGGGGGAGGGAAGCCAGTCACGGCTCCTTTAATCCCCAGGCTCCCGAAAGCCCCAGGGCCCATTGGGAAGACCTAATTACAGGTCTGGAGAAAATGAATGCCTAGGGCCCAGCTGCTATGAAGGTCACAGATGCTGTATTCTAAATCAGTCCAAAAATATGAGATGACAAGAGGAGAAGATGGAAGGAAGGGTTGGAGGTGATAGGGATAAGACTGCCAATGCCTATACTTATAGACCGAGGAAAGTAAATGTTACTATTGAAAGGCTGTGTGACCAAGGAACAGAGAGATTTTCTTGCCAATCTAAGGAGCACATCTTGGGCAACCATCATCCTGGATGAGCCACAGTATAAGCAGCACTAGTAACTGAAAGAAAGAAACGTGATTATAACAGAAAGCTTCCTGTAGGCCTGAAAGAAAGAAGTCAATCTCATCAAGTCTGAGAGATGATACAGAGAGCTCTGCCTTTCCTATGTCTCTTGACTGCTTAAACTAGAAGGAAAAAGGGGGGTCAAGTACAACAGTGCCAGACTGGCAGACCACATGAATGGGGGAGACATTTAAACGTGGAGGAGCAGGGGTTTTTTTGTTTTTTTGTTTTGTTTTGTTTTTTTAAAGATTTTTATTGGTGAATTGGGGAGATGGGAACAGTGCTGGGGAATTGGGGGAAGGGGGACAGACAAGTTGCTGTCATTTTGTTCTTCAGTCTAGTTGTGGAGGATGTTGCTTCACTGGCCCAAGTTGGCACCATCATTGCGCTTTCCCGGGTGAGGCAGATCAGTCGCCGGCTTCTGGACGGCCGCTCAC